AGGAGAAGGGAGAAGAAAAAGGGGAAATGGAAAGGGAAGAGAGGAGAGCTGGGAAGATCTGGCTAGTGCAATAATACACACAGGTGGGAGAGAGAGCACGTAGTAGAGTGGCAGCTAGGTGGCACAGTGGATAGAGCACGGGCCCTGAAATCAGGAGGACCTGAGTTCCAATCTAGCCTCCGACCAACACTTGACACTTACTAGCTGTCTGACCCTGGACAAATCACTTAACCCCAACTGCCTGAAAAAAAAAAAGAAGAAAAAAAGAAGAGAGCATGTAGTAGGGTGGTCCTTCACTTGGGGAAGAGTATGTAGATTGGCTATTGAGAACTGGGGTCAGGAAGGTGACTTCTTGGTACCTTTGGCAATATTTTCCCAAGGTCCCCAAGGCTGGTGAGGCTGAGAAATAGATCAAATGGAGGCTGATTAAGAACCTTTGGCTAGAATTTGATAATATGCTCCCAATGTTATTAAAATGTCCTAGATCAAGGGAAAATATTACTGTCTATATCCCAAAGAAAACAAGGAAAGAGGAAAAGAACCCAAATGTACAAAAATATTTATGACAATTCTTTTGGGGTAGCAAAGAATTGGAAAATATAGGGGTGCCCATCAATTGGGCAAAACATGGAATATAAATGTAATGAAATACTATTGTCCCACAAGAAATAACAAAAGGGATCATTATCAGAGAAACCCGGGAAGACTTATTTGAAGTGAAGTGAGAAGAAACAGGAGAACAACTTATATAATAAGGACATTGTGAAAATAACAATGAAAGATACAAGAATTCTGATCAAGGTTATGAGCGACTATGATCCCAGAGGACCAATGATGAAGCAGGCTACTTTCCTGACAGGGAGGTGGTGGGCTCAGGGTACAGAATGAGACGTATATTTTTGGGCACTCAAAGTGGGGGGTGGATTTTGTTTTGCTTGACTACTCATGCTTGTTACAATGCTTGGGTTTTTCTTTTTTTGTTTCTCAATGGGGGAGAAGATGGGAGGAGGAGAAAACAAATGCCAGTTATTTGAAAAAAAATTAATTAAAAGATAAAATGCTTAGCAAAAAAGCAATAGAACCTGTGGCTGGGTAGGTAAGGTAGGCTGTTCACTCAGGCTTGTTCCTTCCCCTCCTTGTCCTACCAGGCCCATCAGGTAGACTTTTCCCTTTTGATTCTTTCCAGCCTCTAACTGCATTATAGTCTATTAGACTGTAAGGTACTTGAAGGCAAAGATTATGGCATTTATCATTTTTATATACCTGGTAACTAGCACAAAACTTTGCAATCAGTCATTTAATTAACAAGTATTTATTAAGCACCTACTCTGTGCCAGTCATTGGGTTAGATGCTAGATAAAGAATGAAACTGCTCCTGCCCTCAAGGGGCTTTCATTCTAGCAGGGGAAATAAGTATAAATACAGTATATGCAGAATAAATAAGAGGTAGTTAGAGAGGGAGGGTATAAACAGTTCATAGATCTAAAGCCTCAGAGGTCATTAGTCCAAGCCCCTCATCTTAGTAATGAACCCTAGAGACCTGAAGTGACTTTACCAAGATCACCCAAGTACCAAGGCAGCAATTATGGAATCAGGAAGGGCTTCCTGTAGGAGAAGGTGACTGAGCCTCATTGGAAGAAGTGAGGGGTTCTCTGAGGCAGAAGTGAGGAGGGAGGGAGGGCATTTGAGGCATGGGGAACAGAACTATGCACACTAGGCACTTTTTAATGTTTATGGAATTGACTGGAATTGAACTCACCTCCTTCAACTCCTAACTCTGCTGGGATTCCCCCTGCTCCCCATATCTTTTCCCTCCCTCTGGGCTTGTCAGGTCTTCTTGGCCAGCATGATGTACACGGGGAGTGAGGGGCAGGTGGTGGATTCTCAGGCATGATGTGCACATGAACGAGGGGCAGGGGCCAGGTTCTCACTCAAGGTGAGATGCAGCAGCACCTGGGCCTCCTCACACAACCAGCACCCACACCCATCCCCTCGGTAGGGTCAACGTGTGGCCCAGGAGCATCCCGCACGCCCAAGAATTGCTCAGCCAGCATCTTCAGGCAGGATCAGAACAGAGGGGACCAAGTTTGTCTTGATTATCCCTTCTTTCTCCCTCTCTACATCCCCTCCCTCAGGCATCCAAGGCCAACCTGTCAGAAGAAAAACCTCTGGTATTTGGGACAGAAAGCATGTCACCATGGAAGAGCATCAGCCCTTAGAATTCTGAAAACCCAAGTTTTAATCCAGACTCTTCCATTTACTAACAGTGTGACCATGGACAAGTCATTTCCCCTCTTTGGGGCTCAGTTTCCTTATTTGTAAAATGAAGGGGGTAAGACTAGATGAAATTCTAAATTCGGACATTTACTGTGTGCTCCTCTGCCTAGGAGCATTTTCTTAAAAAAAAAAGAGAGATCTTGGGGAGAGAAATATCCAACACAAAGGAACAAATCTCTATAGCTCTGATAGTAGAATTTTGTCTGGGGGAGTAACAAAAACAATGATCAGTGCTCTCTTTCTCCTCCAATTGTCATATATTTACTTATCTGTACATGGGTTGTGTCCTCCACAGGTGAATGTAAACTTCTTGAAAACAGGGGCTAGTTAGTTTCTGGTCTTTCAGTCACCAGTGCCTCGTGCATAATGAACTATTAGTTCTGATCCATCCTGTATAATATTGGAAAAGTCAAGTGATTCTTTGAGGTCTGAGTTTCCTTAAAATGAGGGCTAACTACAGGAATGTGTTAATAAAGGGCACATAGGTGGTGTAGTGGATAGGTGGCTGAGCCTGCCATCAGGAAGACTAGAGTTCAAATCCAGTCTCAAACACTTACCAGCTATATGGTCCTGGGAAAGTCATTTAACCTGTTTGCCTCAGTTTCTTCATATGTAAAATAGGGATAATAACATCTATCTCTCAGGGTTGTTGTGAGGATCAATTTGTAAAGTGTTTAGCACAGTGCCTGGCACATAGTAGGTGCTATATGAGTGTTAGTGATGATGACGACCCTCAGCCTAGTATTCAAAAGTCCCCTAAATCTGGCTCCCAGTTATCTTTCTATCATGGCATATCAACCCTAGACCCCCTCCCTGAACTCAACAGGCCAGTTAAAGAAGGCTTCTAGTTATTTTCTGTATAAAATGGCTATACCCAATGTTCCATCTCTTGGCTCTGTGACTTTGTACTTTGCCCCTCATGCCTAGAATGTACACTTTCATCCTATCTTTCCATCATAGAATTCTTTGCTTCTCTCAAAGCACAGTTTAAGTGAATCCTGATTCCCTTTCCTGATCCTCTACCCCCCATCCCAGTTGCTAGGGCTGTCTCCTTGACATTTGTTATTAGTATTATTTAATCTGTATTTATTTTGAATATTCTATGTACTTGTCTATTTGTGTTCAAGTTGTATCCCCCTAGTACAGTATAAGCATCCTGAAGGCAGGGATTGTTTTGGTTTTTGTCTTTGTATCCTTAATGCATACAAAAGGCACTTAATAAATTCTTATTGAATAGTTTATATGTCTCTAATGCTTTAAGATTCTCATCCTCTATGGTGTGGGGGAAGTATCCCTGCAGGTGTTATCATCTTTTTACTGATAATGAAACTTAGGCTGTAAGAGATTGAGACTTGCCTAGGGTCACTCAGCTACTAGGGTCAGAAACAGGGCTCAAATCCAGGCCTTTTGACCCTTTCACCTTCCACGTTTCCACTAAGCCTGCAGAGGAGAGATCTTAGGGTGGAGGTTCCTCGATGGCCCATGTTGGCCATAATGCTAGTGATTACTATCAATGCAGTGTGCGACCTGGATGGAGGGTGGCACTACCAGACTAGCCTGGTGCAGCTGCCTGGTTGTGGTTCTCTCTCTTTCCACCCGGTGGCAGCAGTGCCCAGTTAAATGCCAAGCCCTTCCCATGCCACTTTCTAGTGATATTCAAAGAGTTCAAGGTGGTTCCTCCTAATTCTCAGCTTGTGGAGGCTTAGGGGGGAAATGCTTTTTGGGGGAGTCAATTAAGGATCCATGAGCACTGATGGGGAGATATTGGGTCAGAGAAGATTTATATAGGGTACTGACCACTAGGCAGGGTTTGGATTTTGGAAGCCAAGGATACTTAGCTCTGTGCACGACTTGTCCAGGCCATTTTCTCTGTGGCCTTGCCCAGGTTCATCTCCCAGTCTAGATGCCTGTCTGACTCTTCCATGCCCTGGATCAAGATTAACCTTCTCCAAGCAGCTTTCCGTAATTGCCCCCTAGCCCACTCTACATTTCTTTAGCATTGCTGGCCATCCAGGAAATGAAATGGGGTGAATCTCAGGCAAGCGATTTTATGTCTTTGAGCCCCGTTTCCTCATTTGCATGATAAGGGGGTTGAATTAGATCAGCAATTCTCAAAGTTGACCTTTGTTAGACTCTTGATCTGGGCAGGGTTTTTTGCTTTGGAAGTTATTTTTAATTAAAAATTAATGGGTTTCTTTTTATTTTTAGATGAATTCTTTTTAAAATTTGTTTTAATTTCTTATGTGGTACATATAACTAGATATAACCCAAATAAACTAAAGATCTTTGGCTTTCTCAGTAACTAATAGTGTAAAGGCCAGCTAGGTAGGGCAGTGGATAGAGTGCTGGGTCCAAGTCAGGAAGACTCATCTTCCTGAGTTAAAATCTGGCCTCACATGCTTACTAGCTGTGTGACCTCGGGCAAGTCATTTCATTCTGTTTGCTTCAGTTTCCTCATTTGTAAAATGAGCTGGAGAAGGAAATGGAAAACCACTCCAGTATCTTTGCCAAGAAAACCCCCAATAGGTCATAAAGAGTCAGACATGGCTGAACAAGAAGTGTAATGGGATCCTGAGACCAAAAATTTTGAGAATGGCTGAATTAGATGATCTTTAAGGTTCCTGTAGCTCTGATGTCTATATTCTCAAAATTCTCCCAGATCCTCCATTTTATGTTCTAAAGTCCCTAACTGTTCTGATGTATTCACTAAGCTCCCTCTCAGCTCTGATATTCTCATTCTAAGATTTTATGCCCCTGAATTGACACACTATAAACTGGCTACAAGAGGCTAGGTAGGGGACCCTGACTGCCTTCCCTTTTGCAAGCTCAGCTCTTTTTCCAACATTGTTAAATGTCTTGTCTCTGGGAACCCCTGGTCTCCTCTTCCATGGTACAACCCCCAAGCACCAAGGACACCACACACATAAAAATATAGAATGATTTTTATCGTATTTTAGTTAAAAAAAATAACTGTTCCACTGAATGAAGTAGTTTTTTTTTTTTTAAGGGGAGAACAAACCCAAAAGCAAAAAAAAAAAAATTATTTTATAGTCATCTGTACAAAGACATCTACTAAGGAAACACGACCGGGGATCCCGATTCCTGCTTCATTAGTATCTCCGATTTCTGCAGATTATTTATACCAAAATAAAACCTCTGAAAGTTCAACAGTGAGCTTTGTATGATCTTCTGAGAGTTACTAAAATAAAGGGTATTGAGTCTAGAAAGCAGTGACATTATCATGAGAGACACAGAGAGGTTGCATAATTTCAGTGGCATAGTGGGCTGGTTTGTCTGTTTTGGCTGGGCGACTGACGACTGGTCACAGCGTTAAGAAATCACATTGACAGAAAACACAACATCATCTCAGGAAACAAGGCCACCACTGGTTGTCGCTCAGGCCATGAGGTCTGGGGGGAATCACAGAGGAGCCAGGCCCGAGGTTCTCATGCTTCCCTAGCCTGGCACACACAATGAGACTATCACCAAAATCAACCTGGCAAGACGGTGAATAATGCCCAGTTGGACACTGCACCACATGTTTGTGTGAATGGAGGGACAGACGATTGACTGGATGGGGGTCTGAACTGTGAAAGGAGAAAGGGCAGAACCCAGGGGCTGAAGCAGACCCTTTGGCTCGTCAATGTCACAGTGCATGCAAATACACCTAAAAGCACTTTTTGGATGCTGCCTGGAGAATCGCGGTATTTCTATTTTTCTTCTCCCTTCTTTGGGGACTGGTCCATTCCTCCTGGTCTCAATCCCCCCTCCCCCAATTTCCCTCACCCCAGTCCATAACTTCCCCTGATTTGTTTATTAATAAGCCTTCCAGGATTCTTGTGCCCCACTGAGACCCTTAGGAGCTGGGTATTTCTGCTCCACTGAGCCCACCTGTGCCCTTAGACATCCCATAAGATGGCTTTCTGGCAGAAAGTGGACCCAATGAGGTAGATTGATAGCTGCTCCCCTACCTTCCTCAACCCAGGCTGGATACAAGGAGTTAGATCTCAGGGCCTGGGATGCTTGGTGCCTATAACTTCAGAAAGTTCTCACCATGGTTTGAACCACCATCATGGGGCTTCAAGGCTGTTTTGCCAAATCTGGGGGCAAGGAATGGAGCCTTTGTAAGAAACGTTGGGGAGACCTTGGGCAAGGGACAGGTTTCCCTGGGCCTCAGTTTCCTCATCTGTAAAATGAGGGGGGCTGACTAGATGTTGAAGTTCTTTTCAGCTCTAGAGCACTCATTTTATGTTCCATCTATCTAGGCTGCCCCATAGCTCTCTGACCTCTTGGTGAATGGTTGCTAAGTGTTTTCTCCTTTCTTACATTATAAGAGATGGTAACTGGCTCCAGAGCAGAGGGCTGATGATCTTTCTGAACCCTGAGGGTCCATGTGGGGCTGGCAGAATTGGCAGGGGTTGGAGAAGGAATAGCAAGATGAGGGCAAAGGAGAAGGAAGAAAGGGGGTAGGAGAAAAGGGAGAAGGGGAAGGAGGTCTGTGCCTACATTTGGTCTAAAAAGGTGTGTTCTTAAGGGATTGTTTGATGGCTGGTGAAGTCCATGCACTGGGAGCTGCAGGGGAGTCCTGAGGGCCTAGGAGATAGGAAGGCAGGACTAGCATCCGAAGGGGGATTCCTGGAGTGAGCAGAGCTCAGAGGTGAGGATGCCGGTGGTAATGGCTATATCTGTTAAGGGAGCACGGGAAGAGCTAACAGGCAGGACTTGGGAGGCTCGGTTGAGGCCCAGGTGGGCTCATCATTCACAGGCAACAGCTCTTTGAATTGGTCCATTCAACCATGAGCTACTTGGCCTATCCTTGAGAGCATTCCTTGGAGCCTCCAGAAGGGCAGGGGCATGGAGGGGGTGGCCAGGCCCCACCCTGCCCCTTGTCCGCTCACTGCTTGAAGGCCGACTGGAGCTCCTTGAAGGCGGCTTTTCTCTGTTTCTGCTCCTCGGCCTGTCGTTTCCGTTCCTCCTGCTCAGCCTTAATCTCCTCCTCGAACTTACTGGAGACATTGATTGCTTGGACCTAGAAGTGAACCAGGTGTCAAGACAGTCAGGGTTTGGGCCACCAGGAAAAAAGGAGGGGAAGGTTTGCAGCCTTCCCACCCTTTAAATACACCTTCCTCTTTGCTCTTTTTATCTCTGTCCTCCTTCCCATTTTCCAGTTCCTCTTTTGGGTTATATTAGAATATAATTCTGAAGGCACAGACTACCCTGTCTGTTTGTATGTTTCCCCAGCATTTAAAACAGTGCCTAACACATAATAAGCACTATTCATCCATTCATTTATCTAACTCTGCCTTTATCTGTCTAACCTTCTGCCTATCTCTCTCTCCAACTATTCATTCATCCTTCTGTCTATTTATCATCTATCTGTCTATCTTTCTACCTAATCCATTCATCTATCTACCTACCTATCTATCTGTCTGTATGTCTGTCTATCTACCCATCCTTCTATCAATCCATCTATCTACCCTTCTGTCTTTCTATCTTTCTGCCTGTGTATCTAATTATCTATCTATCTCTCCATCCATCCATCTGTCTACTATCTATATATCTATCACTGGTTAGTTTCTATCATGTACAGAGGAAAGAACACTACATCTGGAATCAGAAGAGATCTGGGTTCAAACCCTGGCTCTGACATTTAAGTAACTGTGTAACCTTGGGAGACTGACTTTACTTTCCTGGGCCTTGGTTCCCCCATCTGTAAAATAGTAACACTAATATCCAGGTCTGACCATGTCACCCACCCTACTCAATAAACTCCAGTGTCTTCCTATCACCCCCAGGAGTAAATACCAAATGCTCTGTCTGGCCTTCAAAGCCCTTCCTAACCTAGCCCCCTCCTACCTTACTCCCCAACATATACTCTGAGATCCAGTGGCACTGGCCTCTTTGCTCTTCATCAAATGAGACATTCTATCTATTGGTTCCAGGCATTTTCTCTGCTCGTGCCCCAGGCCTGGAATGCTTTCTCTCCTCATCTCTGCCCTCTAGTTTCCCTGGCTTCCTGCAAGTCCCAGATAAATTCCTACCTTCTACAAGAAGTCTTTCCCAGCCTCTCTTTTGGCACCTTCCTTCTTCTATTGCCTATTAGTTTCTTGTTTTACCCATTAGACTGTAAGCTCCTTGAGGACAGGAGCTGTCTTTTGCCTTTCTTTGTATCCTCAGTGCTTAGTACAGTGCCTGGCACATAGTAGGTGTTTACTGACTGACAGACTTACACTGCCTAAGTCACAGGGGTGTTGTAAGGAAGGTGCTTTATAAACCTTGTATGGATACCCTCTGGGCATATGGTGGCAAGCATCATCCAAAAGTTTACTCTCATCTCTCTCCCATCAACCCTTTTGGAAGGCTTCAAACCTGATCCTCATGAATGAGAGTGGGGGTGATGCCTGCTTTTTTCTGCCTGGTACTGTTACTCTGCCTTCCATGGGATTTAAGGCCCCAAGGCTTGGTCCAGACTTCTCCAAATGTAGCATTGGGTCATTCAAGACAACAAAGCTTAGACCCTCCCACCTACGTCACTCCAAGGTAACTGTAGTGGGAGAATATGGTTTTGGATAGTCCCTTATAGGTTCCTAATTTCTACAGTTCTTTAAAGTCTGCAAAGCACTTTCTTCATCACAGCCCTGGGAGACAGGTAAAGGAATACTATCACATACATTTACAAATGGAGAAAACCTGAGGCTTGGAAATGAAATGACTTGACTAGGGTGGCACAGCTCATAAGCATCAGAGCTGGGAATCCAAACCTGGGTGTCTGACTCTAGAGTTCAGTGGTTTCTCCATCAGACCATACTGCCTTCTCCTATAGTTCTTACCCCTGGAAGGGACCCCTCCTTTTATAGAAGAGGAAACTGAGGCTTTGAGGGAAGGTAGGACTTTCTAAAGGTCTTAAAACTAACAAATCATAGAGCCATGATTCAGACTCGGAGACCCTGATTCCAAAGAAAGTCCTTTTTTCAGGACAGTGAGTGGGGAACTTGGCTGGGGGGGGGGATAGAAGTATGTTTATGTGAGTGGGGTGAGGGACTCAGCAAGAGGTGATATAAGTAGAGAAATTGGGAAAGGAATTCATTTAGTTGTGATGGAAGCCAAGGAGAAGGGAGGGGTGAGATGAAACAGAAGGTGGATGGCTTGCCATTGTGGGACTACAATTAGGGGCTTTTAGTGGCCTCTGCCTCATGGCAGAGTCTGATTCTGATGCCTCAGCGGGGAAGGAAGCAGCAAACCCAGGAGAGAAACTCCAGAGGCCACAGCCCCATGAAGGAAGCCACCACACCTCCGCTGGGGGCACCAAGCTTTGCAAACCCTTCTGTTTCCTTACTTTGGCCTCAAAAAAGTTCTTGGCCCCTTTAACACCTTCCGTGGAGACATCGATTTCAGAGCGCTGGGCCAGAACATGAAGTCCGCTGTCTTCCTGCAGCTCCCCTGCTGCGGACTTCCGGAAAATCAGGAGGAACTGTGAGGAAAGAAGAAAGCTCAGGCTGTGAGGAAGCCTTGGGTCCTGGGGATGCGGCCCCCGCCCACCAGCTCACCCTCTTCAGCTCAGGGATTCTCAAACAGGGAAAAACCATCATGTCTGAAGGTGGAACTCCTTGGAGTCTGAATCTCCCTCAGGGGAGAAAGACAGCTCCCTAGACAGGACCTCCTCAGACCGGGCCTGGGCCCTGCTCGGCCACTAACTTAGCTATGTTGACTCTGAACATGTCATTGCTCTCCAGACCTCAGTTTCCATTCTTGTAAAATGAGAGGGTAGGACTGTATCTTTTGGCTTTGACATTCTCTGTCCTAAGGTCCCTCCCATTCTAAGGCCCCTCCCAGCTCTGACAATTCCTGTTCTAAGGGCCCTCCAGTTCTGA